GATACTTAACTTCTCTGTAGTTGTTGCCAAATTGGCTTGAGGCGGGCATCATGGTGGTCAGTACACTCGCACTACTTTGAATTCTTATTGTTTGAAATACTGAGCAATAATCGCAGTAGGGAACGTTGTAGAAGCACTCTTATATCATTCGTTTTTCAGGTCAATCATGGCCATAACAAGGGCATCACTGCTCTAGCTCTCAGTGCATGTAAGCAGTGGTTGTTCACTTCTGATTTTGAGGGCCATATCAGTAAGTGTTATCCTTTGGCAGTTTTTTTTGAAAACTTTTTGCATTTCTTTCATTTAAGCTAAATGGAATGTCAAGAATGGTGAGTCGAAGAGAGTTTCTCCGGCACTTCACAAGTCGCAGGTAACTAGTTTATCTAACAGTTCGTTTTTCCGTCTACTTGTGAAAATTTAGATCGTTGGCCTATCATTCGTAAAGGACCAACTAATCAGTTGTGCATGGGATGACACTGTTCGCTTCACGCATGGCATTCTTGATTCAGGTGCGTCTAGGTACTGCTTTTAGTACGCTCGTATGTAATGCTTATTTGTGCAGATTCACCACGTTCATCATCCGTAAAACTGCCCTCACAGCCTCTTAACGTTGTAACTTCTCAAGAAGGCGGCCTTACCGTTGTTGCTTGTGCTAAAAACATCATTGTCTTTAAAGTAGGTCTTATCCTCTTCGTTTCAAACGGAATTACTAAGCAATAATCTAGGAACTGTGCAGCAGTGTGATTAGAAGTCAAAATTCAAATTTCTAGGAAGAAACATTGTCAACGGATCTCAGCGTATCTTTCAATCCCTCCTGCGTTGCAATTTTGAAAAACATGGTCGCTGTTGGTGGTCAGGTATGTGTATTTTATCGTAGAACTATTCCCCTCCCTTTTAACATTTTTTTACTAATTTTTCTAAAGAGCCGGTGAAATTGTTTACGAAATAGAGCTAGAAAAGGGGAGTTAATTGTACTCGTATTGTTCATATTACTGATTGTCACATCGCGCATACTTTAAAAGAAGATGAGATGCTAAAACTGCGATACTGTTTTCTTATCTTT